CCTGTAGGACAGGGTAGGACTGCCCCTGTGAGTTTCTGAGACTGTAATTCTTTATGGGACTAGAAAGCCCCATCTGTCTCCCAATGAACGGATGGTGGTTTCAGACTGCCGACCTTGTGGATCGTAGCCCAATGAGTAATTTCTATGCCACCAGAGCTCCAATAGCAGGTTTCTTTAGCACCACTAATATGGCTGAACCACTGGTGGTTCAATGGTAGTATTCTTTGTTTACACGTGGGAGACTTGGGTTCAATTCCCGGGCAGTGCACTCTTCCTTCAGCAGAGACCTATAGGTTGCTATGATGCCACACCGCTTTCCAAGAAGCTTTCAGAGGGAATGCACACTAAGAAAACAGGCCTGATGCTCTTGTTCTAAAAATCAGCCAACGAGAACCCCACGGATCAGTGGTTCCCCCGCAGGATGGGCATGGTTTGGGTCTGAGGAGTTGGGGCTGACTTGAAGGAAGCGAATTCTAACAACCACCGTGTGGTGCTGCGTCTCCCCACTGGTCTGATGAGATTCTGTAGCCTCCCTCCCCAGAGAGGCCTGGGCTAGCTGGACCGCATCTCTTTCCACCCTCTAGGCCACACGAGCCACAGATTTGCCCCTGGCTTGGGTTTTCTAGCTTTATTCATGATGGACATGCCAACTGCCATTGCCCGGCGCATCCGGACCAACGATGGTCTGGCAAGGAGGGCTCCTGGGGATCCTCGTTACTTCCGACACGGAGCTAGCGTTCCATTGCCTGACTCCTGTAGGTGGGGAATCTGGCTTTGCGGCTTCATCACTGTTCCTGTTCTTTTTTTTGAAGTGCTCCCTTTTGCTGCCCTCTTAGGAACTCAGGTGCAGAGGTGATACTGGGTGTAGTCACTTCCTGTCCTTTCAGGCTATTAGATGGGGCAGTTTGGACTGGTAAAACTGAGAGCTGGTGCTTAGTAAACTCTCAGAGCTCACTGCCATCCAGGTGGTCGTGCCTCACTACAGCCCTATGGGACAGGGAGCAACTGTCCTGGTTCCCAGACTGCGGGGCTCGACTGGAGTAGAGAGCCTCACCTCTCCAGAGCAGTGCTTCTCCACCTTCCTCATGCTCCAACCCTTTAATACAGTGCCTGATGCGGTGGTGACCCCCAACCATAACATTGTTTTTGTTGCTACTTCCTAACTGTCATTTTGCTACTGTTATGAATCGGGCGACCCCTGTGAAAGAGTCATTCGACCCCCAAAGGGGTCTCAACCCACAGGTTGAGAACCGCTGCTCGAGACCTGGCTGGTGGTTTTGAACTGCTAACTTTGTGATTTGCAGTCCAACTGGTAACCTCTATGCCACGCCCCCAGGGCCCCTGCTTTCTAGGAGTTGTCATATGCAAATAGAGGATTTGCATATGAACTCTTAAGTACAACCAGAGCTTGCTTTAAAAAAGGAGCAAAGAACACTAGTTATTCACTCAACCATCAACTCAACTCCCAATAAGTCCCAGGAGCAAGAAGGGAAACAAGTTCTAGCCTTTGGTATAAGTACCCACGTGCTTGAAACACTGATCTCTCCTGAGGCCTGTAGAGAACCCAATAGCCATGTAAGCACGCTTGTGGTCGAAGCCCTGACCTGGCGGAGCGAACGTCCGTCCCACTGCTCTGCTCAGTGGAGGTACCCCGAGCAGAAACTCGGTAAGAATTCATCACCGTGCAGTCCTTTTTCGGTCCATCCTCAGGTGGGGTCTGGGTCGGGATGATGTAGTGCAGGGCTGGAATCCTGGGAATTGCTTCCACCCCCTTCCTGGCCTCAGAGGTTTATTTTATGTTGGCTCAGGTCGGCTGGCTGGGCCCACTGGTGTCACCATCACTATGGAAACCAGGGTGTTTCCACAACAGTTCAAATTGGGGGCCGTGGAGGGGACTCGCAGGGATGTGAACCAGACTGCATTAATACCAGCACATGATAGTCCGGCGTTTTCTCAGTTCCAAGCATCTGTGTGACAAGTTGTTCAGGAAGTGCCCATCCTGTCTCCTTTCCCCTGGCGGCCCCCTCATTTAAGGGAAGCATCAGTGACGACTGCTTGCGTTTTGAGGTTCTTTGAATAACAAACAGGAAGAAAGTCTCAGTTCTTTACTTCCATCAAAGCATCTTTCTCAATGGACTTCCAAAAAAAATTAAAATAATATTTTTTTTCTCCTTTGAAGAAAAATGAGAACTTAAGCATCTATCCATACCAGGGGCTTCACAAAGCTGACTGGGGCAGGGGGCGGGTAGGAAGGAATGAAAAGATAGCAGGGTTTTTCCACAAACTTTTTTCAACTCCTTGCATCTTCGTTTTATAAGGTGGGAGGGGGGGGTGAGTTACCGTCCAAAGGGAAATATATTTTCAGCCCTTATTCAAATCCGAGTTGCATCAGCTGGAAAAAATCAAAGGGGTCAAGCTGGCTTTGAGGGGAATGATTTTGTTCGATGCTGCGAGAGCGGTCAGGTCCAAACACAGATTCGATGGGCTGAAAGGCCCGTGGCACGTGGCCAGTGTCATGTGGCGCCTTTTCCGTGGTACCAGTGACCCTGCTCCTGCGCTCAGCGTCTCGTGCCCTCTCCCCCAGTGCGGGAGCCGGGGGCTGGGTGCTGGCCCGCTGGTGCGGGTGGGGTGCGGATGGGGTGCAGTTGGGGCCGCTGGCATCTGCCGGGGCCTCCTCCTGACATTTCACGACCGGCCGCAGCGTGATGCAGAGCCCCGCCTCTGTGAGCAGACTGGCTGTCAGCACGCCACGGCTTCCCTCAGCTCCAGCCTGTGTAAAAATAGCACAGTCGTGGGACGGTTTTAATATTTTTGGAGGATAATAGCGACCGTAAGAAAACATACCATTCCCCTCCCCCCACGCTCCACAAACTGACAGTCATTGCTGATTCCCGGGGGGTGGGGGGTGGGGGGGTGGCGGGGGTGGGGGGTCCAAAGCCCTTTGCGTTTCAGAGCTGAAACAGTCCCAAAGGGCTAGTCTGCTCTGTGGCTTTTACAGTTGTGGAAACTGAGGCTCCGAAAAGCAGGGGCATGTGTTCTGGTCCACGTGCAGGGCATTACCCGAATGCAAATTAGGCCCTGTGCCTGCTGCATGCCAATGTTACTAGTACAGCTAACAATTGTGGCTGTTATCCTAAAAGGTGCTTTTGATGCACAAAAGCATTAAAAACATTAATGCGGCTATTAAAAGCCTTCTATGAACGCCTCTACTCAGATTACTAACTTTCAAGTGTAAAAAAAAAAGTCTTCCAGCAAATCAAGTTTATTTCTGCCCGTTGGAAGTTCTGGCATGCCCATTTGCAAATTGGCAGCTTTTCCATGTACTGATTCCCTCAAGTGAGTTAATGTATGGTTTTGTTGTGATGGTGTAAAAGAAAGGACAGCTTTGATTCTCCGTGTCAGCGCTAATCCTGAAGATGGAATTCTGACAAACTTTGAATCCCTTTTTCCCGTTTGCTGTCATTAAAACAAAAATTTTTTTTCAACAAGTCTAGGGTGATTTTGCCCTGAGTTGCAGTAACTGGGGTGCCACAGAGGTGCTGTGGGTTAGGCATTGGGCTGCAAGGTCATCGGTTCAAACACACCAGCCATTCTGGGGGAGAAAGAGGAGGCTGTTTGCTCCCCCTAACAGTTCTAATTTTGGAAACCCACAGGGGCAATTTTCCTCTGCCCTACAGAGAGCCCTTTTGGGTCATGGTTCCAGGTTGGGCCGCTGACTGCAATGTCAGCAGTTCAAAAGCATCACCTACTCCGTGCAGAAAAGATGAGGCTCTCTACTCCCGTAAAGAGTTGCCTTCTTGGAAACCCACAGGGGAGGTTCTACCCTGACCTAGAGGGTTGCTATGAATCAAAGTGGGCTCCATCGCAGGGGGTCTGACTGGTTTAGCAATAACCGGCATCGGCAGGCACCTTGGTGTTGGTGTGCTGTTCGTGTGGTATCGGCTGCTCTCACTCCTTGTGCCCGATGGCTGTGAACATCTAGTTCCAGATACCGTTAGAATCAGAGCGACCCCCGATGCAAATAAGGAGGGCTTTGGGAAGTGAGAAGGTGTTAAAGGTTCTTTTTTCCACAGGGGTAACTTCAACGGGGCTGTAGTTAGTTGTTCAAGGTACAAAACAACCTTTCATTCGTGCATTCATTCAAAGTAAACTGAGCTATGTCAGTAAACCATCTGTGCTGTCTTAGAGCATCGAATGGAGGGTGCCAGCACTCCAGTAGGGGGGTTTGATGATGATCCCTAGACAGACCCAAGGGCAAAGAAAGAATTGTTTCGGTGTGGGCATTTCTGGCAGCTCAAGTTTCCTCATTCCTCTCCTGGATCTTGTCTATTTGGATGCGTCCTCTGTGGAGGAAGGGGCTTGGGGAAGAGGACACAGTGGACTCACAGCCGGTCTCCTGTATTTTTTTTCTCTTGCTTTAAACGGCTGATGTTAATAGCTTGATTGGCTCAATGGAGAAGTAAAGAGTTACTCTTCATAGTTATTGCCCTAACTTTGACCTAAAGCCAGGAAATAAAGGGGGATAATGTGGGCTCCAGATAAAACAAAACCAGGCAAGAAAAAAACATAATCCTTAATTCCAAGGCTGATGGACTTCCCCTTTCATTCAAAATAATTTTTCCCTTGTTAATTTTTTAAAAATTGATATCAATGTGACTTTGTATTTTCACAGTACCAAAGGTAGTCTCCTAGCGACCCTATAGGACAGGGTAGAACTGCCCCTGTGGGTTCCTATAGGTTCGCAATGCATTGTTGTTTGTTTTCTGTTTTTTTTTGAATGGTCGTCTCATCAACAGCTTGACTCACTGCAAGAACACTAAGATATGATGAGGACTGACTGACTGACTGACTGATGGAGCGAATGAATGCACCAAAAGGAGAGTGCGTGTGTTCCTGTGACACAAACACATCAGTTGGGATGTATCTGCAGCTAAGCAAAGTGACAGAGCATCTCAACACTAAGGAGATGATACATGCTTCGTTTATTTTGTAGGTGAAGCCAAAAATCTTCCCACTTACCCGGGGCCAAACAAGATGCGAGATTGCTACTGCACTGTGAACCTGGACCAAGAGGAGGTTTTCAGGACCAAAATAGTGGAAAAATCACTCTGGTAATGACTTTATCGCTTTACTTATTGATGATGTGTTTTTCTTCCGAAGAGACAGGATCTTAAACCCATATGCCATCTTGCCCTTTTTCCTGCTTGAGCTTGGGGTGAGGTGGGAGAAATAGTCACACGAGCTCTGGCTTGCAGGATGGTCAACCTGGATCTCTTGTCCTGGGGAGTGAACCAGCACTAAGTGCTCTTAACCCACTGGTCTCTGAGCAGCACAAAGGTACGGCAGCACACGTGTGACGCCTTGTCATCACTCCCCCTAGCTCAACACTTTGGAATCGTTTTTGATTAGAGGTGTGTTGGAAAGTGTAAATTGCAACCAAAGAATACAAATCTGGGATTTGTCCAGGGACATATATTTGTTTTGTTTTCACTAACTTTTAAGTTTTTCTAAAGTGGCATGGCACGCTTAAGATGGCCATCTAGTTAATTATTAACTGAGGCAAGAGACCTGGGAAATAATTATTGATATAATTTCATGCAGACAAACTCCAAGAAAGGCCAACATTTTGTAAGTCTTTAGATTGAAATGTGTGCTGTGTAAAATACACCGGTGTTTCTCAGGTAAAGCTTACATGAGAATCATCTGGAGGACCTGTTAAAACACAGACAATGTACCTTAAAAGGGTCTACCTTGGGGCCGGGGAACTTGCATTTCTAAGAAGCCCCCAGGCAATGGTGAGAATACAGTTTTGGCGGGGCACATGTTGGTTAGCATTGTAGTAGTATACCATGCAATGTGCCTGCAGTGGGGCAGGTAGGAAGGGATCACACCTTAATAGTAGTTGTTCCTGGGATGAGAGGAGAGAAACCAGAAAAGAGGATGGTGAGGTGCTAAAACATTGACTTCACTGTAATGTGTGTTAAAAGATGGGAAATTGGGGGTTTGTAGTCTAGGTGAGCCTCTGGGGGTGGAGGGGTGGGGGTACAGATATTTAATGAGCTCAGCCACTAACCGGAAGGCTAGTCTTTATGGTTCAACTTCTGAAAAGTCAACCACTGACATACTTATGGCGCACAATGAAAGAATATGGGCCCATGAACCATGTCGCTTGGGTCAATGAACAATTTGTGTAGAAATTGTCAAAGGGGAATCTAGGTTGTGTGTAAATTTCCACTGAGAACACACTGACATTTAAAAAAATGGTTTTATTGAGTTATAATTTATACAACATACTTGGTTATAATTTGCATACCATTCACTTCCGCAGTTCAGTCAGTCATGTTATACAGCGTTGTACAATCATGACCACAAGCAGTTCCAGAACATTTTCTTCCTTCTTGCACTCAGTACCAGCCCCCCATTTCCCTCCCACCTTCCCACAATGAGATGTTATTTCTATTTAAAACAACCCTCTGGAGCACAGTTCTGCTGTGACCCAGATGGGCTTGCCCGAAGGTACAATCAACCCAGTGGCAGCCGGTAAGGGAGTGGTAAGTCAGTCCCGGTGAAGGAGGCCAACGAGGTGTTTCCGTGAAGTCCTTCAGGAAGGAGAGAGGACGTCTCCGAGGCCTATGACTTCATCCTCAGCACTGGAGCTCGTGCTTGTGTGGTTTCATTAACACTGCTGTGTTGATTTGTGCACATTTATAGCCTCACATATTGCGACTTCTAGGTGGGAAAAAAAACAACGCGTTCTGATGATTTAATGAATTTAATTTTTAGAAAACTGTTAAGGATCCCCTGCCCCTGAGAGAGATTGGAAATGTGTTTTCTGCGCTTCCGTATGTACTGTTGCTGCCAATGCTTGTTTTTCATGCACTGTGGTGATGCTGCTCTAAAGGCTGAGTTATAATAGCTGTTTGTGTTATTTGAATGCACACTGCAGATTTTTTGTGGGGAAGTAATTGAAAATAAAAGAAAACCAAAAAAGACTGAGGAATATTGTCAGACTCTAAAAAGAATGCCTTTATGGTCTTGAAGATGAAGGTGATGATGATGATGGGGTGATAACTTCTTATTAGGAAAGGTGGGTGCTCGCTTCGGCAGCACATATACTGAAAATAGGAAAGATGGAAGTAACTATTACTATAGTTAGCCCTGATGTTAGCTTCTCTTTCTCTATTTAAACAGCCTGATGTCACAGGCCAGTGGCTCATTAACCTAGTGAATTACTGGACGTCTCTGTAAAGTATGCCTCCTCCCCTGACCCCGGCTCTTCCCAGACCCACTGAACCAAAATCTCTGGAATCTATTTGGGAATTCCTGTTCTAGGTGAGGTTGCGAAATGAGGACCCAGGTCTCCAAAAGGACCTCAGACCCGTTTGGAACTGAACAGGTGGTTTCCGGCTCTGGTGGCAGTAGAAATGTGCTTCTGGAGGGGAAACGTGTAGCTGAGAGCTGCGTCAAAATAACAGTGCCCTGGGGTCATATATAAGCTATAGCTAGCTAGATGGATGGATTATGGCTTCACACTTAATTCTAGATGAGTTCTTATGGCACGGCCCTGCTAGATGCTTGACCTCATGACGAGATCCCTGAAGATATGGGTGCTATGGCAAAGTGTGGTGAAGAAATTAGATGGTGCCCGGTTATCAGAAAGAATCCTGTCTGGGTCTTAAAGCCTTGTCTTCAAACAAGCAGCCATCTCAGTAAGGCATCAACTAAATCTACCTGGAAGAAGCACATTAGCCCGTGTGATCCCAGGATTGTAAATAATATAATCCAAATCCAAAGGAGGGAATGGCATCAGAGCTTAAATTGCGAATACTCGGTTTGCAGACGGCTGTGGACAGCAGTGAAAGCCCAGAGTCCCTTTGCAGGGTCCATACATAGACTAAGCCTCTGGTGAATCCCCTCTGATCATAGTCAGGGCTGTGAATAGCCTTGTTATCAGACAGAACAGTGTCAAGGCAATTATAGTCGATGGAGTTAGGTAAACATGTAATGCCATTTGATTTTCCTTTTGACCCATTTAAAAGTTGTTTCCGTTAAAAAGGGGAAAAAAAGGTGAAGGGGAAACCACATGTGTATTAAGCCCCTGGTGAATCCCCTCTGACCGTAGACTTGTGAGTAGCCTTGCCCTCATGCAGGGTACATTGGGAAATGGATGACTGAAGATGTCCTTAGGTTAAAATTGATCACTTTATCATTTGATCGCCTGGTTGACCCATTTAAAATTTGTTCTAGTTTTCAATATTTTCTGCTTTCTTTTCGACTGAAGTTTTTCATTGCCAGTGGTGTTAGGTTTCTGTTGTTGTTACTGCATTTTCTATGTCTTTCCATGTATGAAATCCAGGAGAGGTAAATCATTAGAGACAGTACTGGATCGATGGTTTCTTTGGAGTGTGGTGGGAGAGGTTGGGGAGATGGGGAACTAGTAACAATGAGTACAAGAAAGAAGAAAATGTTCTAAAATTGTGGTCATGATTCTACAACTTTTCTTGATAAGATCGACCTATTGAAGTGTATGATATTGGATTATGTGCTAATAAAACTGTTTAAAAAATGATGTCCTAATACTGTCCTTGCAACCCGTCTGTGATAGAGCTAGAATCAGGTAGTCACTTCCAAAATGCCTTCATAAGGAACCAGGTACTGCCACAGAGAGTGCCCACAGGCTAATGAACTTACACAGAACCCCTGAATGCTGCCTACAGATATTTACTCGCTGTTATTAATGACAGTTTTAATAAACTTAATGAATGTTTTCATTCATTAGTTCCATGATTGCTTAGTAAGTAAGCTCTTAGCTGTCAGGCTGGACACAGAAAGTGTTTTTGTACCAGAGCAGAAAGAGTTAAAACTGACAGCAAAGGGACACAAGCCCTTAAAAATAGTTCAAGAACTTAAAAATATGGACATGTGTGTGGCCACTTAGTATTGAGGCAAGCAACCCTGTTCACACTGATGGACCTTGCAGGCCGGGACTCTGGAAAGCTCTCCTTTAAGGGTAAAGGTGAAAAATAAATGCACCCACCCTCTAAAACAGTGGTTCTCAACCTTCTTTGTGCCGCGACCCTTTAATACAGTTCCTCCTGTTGTGGTGACCTCCAACCATAAAATTGTTTTCGTTGTTACTTCATAACTGTAACTTTGCTACTGTTATGAATCGTCATGTAAATATCTGATAGGCAGGATGTATTTCCATTGTTACAAATTGAACATAATGAAAGCA